CAGGTCCTGACCTCTCATCAGGTGACCCCAGGTCCTGACCTCTCATCGGGTGACCCCAGGTCCTGACCTCTCATCAGGTGACCCCAGGTCCTGACCTCTCATCAGGTGACCCCAGATTCTGACCTCTCATCAGGTGAGTCACCTGAACCCAGGCACAGGTCAAAGGTCAGCCACCACTGTCCTCTGAAACAAACTTTTTATTATTATTTTTAATTCATTTTTATTCAAGCGGTAAATAAAACTTCTGACAGTCGGAATGAAGGTTCAACTCCGGCTGGCAGAGAACAACAGGAAGAACTACAAACAAACAAACAAACAAACAACTAGAATAAACAAAAACAGACAGATTCATTAATGTCAGCTCCATGAACCAGAACAGAGAGAGAGAGACAGGAACAGAGAGAGAGACAGGAACAGAGAGAGAGACAGGAACAGAGAGAGAGACAGGAACAGAGAGAGAGACAGCTCTTTGACTGACTGACGAGGTGTTTTCTATGTTTTATGATAATTGATCAAATATATTAGATAATAATCGATAATTTAGCATAGTTGATAACTGATATTTTATAATTAATAATAATTGATCAATTGATCATTATATTTGATCATTTATAATAACTGACATTTGATACTAATAATAATTTATATAAGATAATTGATCATATTTTATCATGGTATTTCATAAAAATTGATAATATTAGATAATTGATATTTGATCATAATTGATAATATTAGATAAGTGATATTTGATAATAGATCAAAATAGATAATTGATATTTGATCATAATTGATAATATTAGATAATTGATATTTGATAATAGATCATAATTGATCATTTATGCATGAGCTCAGTTAAAGGATGGTATTTTTACAGGAAGTTGTAAATAATGTTTTAATCTGATGTTTGTTTCAGCAGAAAATAAGAAACAAGATGAAACTTTCAGAAAGAGCCCGGGCACCTCCTGGAGGAGGTGACTCTACCTTCAGCTCCTCCTGGAGGAGGCGACTCTACCTTCAGCTCCTCCTGGAGGAGGTGACTCTACCTTCAGCTCCTCCTGGAGGAGGCGACTCCACCTTCAGCTCCTCCACCTTGAGCTGCTCCTGATCCCCCCAGGCCAGATTCCATGAAGGTTCTCTGCAGGAGCACCAACACTTTTCAGCAGACAAGCCGAGCTGCTCTGAACTTCTGGATGTTCAGGACGTGGAGCTCAGAGGCTGAAGGTCCGTTCGGCTCCAGAACTTTAGTTTGGACCGTCTGATCAGACCGACGTGCTCCATGTGACCTGATGGACTGAAGGTCACTTCCTGTATAAAGACTTCACAGGAACCCAGAGGCCTTCTGTCAGAACCTGCAGCTACCGGCGGACCCTGAACGCATCACGGGCAGATAGGACTCGCTGATTTGAGTCAAAGCAGCCGAGGACAAGCAGCTGCTGATGGTCTGAGGTGAAAACCTGCAGCTGAACTTCTGCTTTTAGCTCTTCAGTTCCACTTAGCTACTCTGATCTTCCCCTTTAGCTGTTGTCCTACCAGCTTTAGCTTTCAAAGATGTAACTAATTTTAGCTTTTAGTAGTTTTGGTTTGGTTGAGAACGTTTTAGTTTTGCATCACTGATTTGTTACATTTAGGGGGCACAATGTTAGCTTTTAGATATTCCTAACTTTTCTTCTTCGGCTCGTTTGAACTTCAGCTTCTTCAACACATTTTCATTCAGCACAGCTTGGGTTTGACTCTTCAGATCAGCTGATTTCTCAGCAGCTTTAATTGTTCTGCAGAAACTAATTTAAAGAGTTTAAACCAGAAATCAAACCCGACGAGCTTCTTAATGCTGAACGATTTATGAGACATCAACAAAACACTCGTACAAAATTATTCATCTTTTACAAACACAGAAACTGAGGAGGGAGGAGAGGAGGCGGCTGCAGAGCCACAGCGCCTCCTGCTGGGCCTGGACAGCTGTTGCAGGAGGTACGGAGCTACTTTAGTGCCAGACAGTGCGCGTGGGGCCTGGCAGGACATTACAACATTTATTCATGTCCCCAGTTACTGTTTGACACAAATACAATTTTAAATATCACATCATTACAATTAGAAAATGCAAAACTTAGAACATCTAGAATTTCAGTTGTACAAATAAAAACATGTTGACGTTTAAGGAGCTCTTTTAATATTTATTGGTTAAATAAATGTTAATTGCAAACGTGTGGACAAGTGTTTATTTTAGTGTTTATTTTTCTGGTTTGACTCGCCCACCTCCTAAAGGCTCACAAGGCACGGCCATAATGTTTTGTGTCCATCTGTTAGCAAAATATCTCCTGAACCAGTAATCACTGAGCACGTCTATAAGTGAAACACCTCTGGAGTCGACATATTTCAATATGGCTGCCACAGCATTAGCAAACGCAAAGATGCTACAGCTCAGTGGGAGTCACAGACACTGAGCTACGGTTTGGTGGAGTAGTAGCTGAGAGTCATTCACAACTCGTCCTCCGAGCACCGACGGGCGCGGTGTTCGATCGTACCTGAACCTTGTGATTTCACTGAAATCTGAAACAGTATTTAGAGACTGGAATGTGCTTCGATTAAATGTTAAGTTGGCCTGCCGTACCAATCATCAGCATCCCCCTCAGACAGGAATGTTTCGTCATTTCAGGATTTTTTAAAACGTTTATGTTTTAAATGTAAAATCAGGTTTTATTTTACATGAACTCGTTGGTGGGCCGGACCGAGCTCACCTGCGAGCCAGGTGCGGCCCCCGGGCCACCAGTTGAACAGCCCTGAGCTGCATGCAGATAGTCCAAACGATGTGGCACCAGTTTACCTCCGTACCTTTTAAACAGACTGTGAAGGTGAACGGTTCCGAGCTGCAACCATCGGATCGGTTAGGAAACTTTATTTTCATTAATAAAAGACTTCGATAAACGAGTCAGAACTTCAGAACTTTCAGGTTCTGTTCACTTTAAATCCGTTTTATAAAGTTGTTGTATGGTGGTTCCAGTTCTGAATCAGAGTGGGTTTCTCAAACCAGTTCTTTTCATTCGGGTCATTTCCACTACTGCCTTTAGTACGGGCACAGCACGGCTCTACTCGGCTCGGTACACCTTGTGCTTCCATTATAATTTCAGTACTGGTTCCAGTGGAAGTGGTTCAAATTGATGTCACGCGCCTCCTCACCAGCTAAATATATATATATATATATATATATATATAAATCCTGCTAATAAACTTTTAATGAACTTTAGTTCCAAATTAAATCTCTGATGAACCAGATTCTACAAAAACATCTATATTTAAATTTTATAGGTTTTTCTTGATCATTTGATGTTTTTGCACTCGTGTCTATTTTTATTGTTTAATTTTGAAATGTGTTTTTGTTTCTTGTTCACAGATATTTATTTTAGTTTTGATTTAAAGTTTAATTCTTGTTTAGTGATTTGTTCATGTGTGTGTTAGAATAAAGTTGAACTAAAGGCCGTGTCTCTTCTTTAAACATGTTTGAGGGAGAGAGTTCCAGTAAGAGAAGAGAATAAGTTGCTTGTTGCTCTTCTGTCCAACTCATTCTACTGGATCGAAGTTCTGCCTTCGACACCATCTGTCGTTCTATCCTCCTCAACAGACTAACCTCCACTGGCATCTCAGGTACTCCGTTAGACTGGTTCAAATCTTATCTCTCTGACTGCACTCAATTCATTCTGCTTACATCCTTCCGTTCCCAGTCTTCCCCTGTCTCCACAGGTGTCCTGCAAGGTTCTGTCCTCGGAACCCTCCTCTTCATCATTTACCTCCTTCCTCTAGGTCACATCTTCCACAAATTTGGTGTCCATTTCCACTGTTATGCTGATGATACACAGCTCTACTTATCAACAAAACCTAACTCCACCCACCCTCACCGACTGTCTCAATGAGCCAATCAGTGACCGACAGTGTTCTAATGTCACGTTTTAGTGCCGGTTTGGCCCGCTTGGAACCTCACAGACAAAGGTCCTGAAAAAGGGGTCAGTTCTACGAAACGTTTGTTACTAGTGGAAAAGCCTTGGAACCGTGCCGAGCCAAGTCGAACCGTGCTGTACTGCTGCAAATGGAAAAGGCCATAACAGAACCAGAACAAGAACCACTTCAGTGATGGGCGTAACGGCTTCCTGCCGAGCTCGGTCCGTTTGATTCGACGCGGAGCGATAAAAACGAACACTAAAGAACAACCGGAGATCACGGTAAAACGTTTCAAATGTCTGAGGCATTTTCAGCACATTTTATTTTCGGCGTTTTTGCTTCAGTTGGAAGATTTTTGGCCGTTCAGAGCCACCGTATGGTTGCAGCTCGGACAGACAGAAATGTGAATCTGCAGCCTTCACTCCTCTTCCTCACCACTCCTTCTTCTTCTCGTCCACTGAGACCCCCCCGGGCCCCAGGGCCACCACCAGCAGCAGCCCCCCGATCACCGAGGTGGTCTGGAAGAAGTCGTACTTCAGGAAGTCGTGGAGGGGCGAGTGGGCGGGGACGTTCCAGAAGGCGTTGAAGGTGACGTTGATGCAGAGCAGCCAGGCGACCAGCGTCAGCGCCGCCAGCTTCGTCTTGAAGCCCACCGCCACCAGCAGCACGAGCGCCAGGCCCACCAGGTCCAACAGAACCTGCAGGGACGAGAGTCTGTCTGAGGCAGCTGGGGGTGGTGGTGGGGGGTGTGAATGTTTGGACTGCTTCAGTCAGGACCTTCAGCTGATGTCTCAGTGGTGTCAAAACTGATTCATCTAATGCTACTTTTAGCTTCAGCTAGCCTGGTCATAGTTTTAGCTTCTAAATAGTATTTTGGTACTTCTAGCTTTTAGCTAACCTTTTGGTACTTGGAGCTTCTAGCTATCCTTTGGCTAGATTTAGCTTCAAGCTAGTGTTTTGATAATTTAGGCTTATAAATAGCCTTTTGTGCTTTCAGCATGAAACTATCAGACGTTTTTAGCTTCTAGCTAGTCTTTTGATGTTTGTAGCTTATATTAGCCTTGCAATGCTTAAAACTTTTAGCTACTTTTAGCTCAAATTTAGCCACTTTTGGCATGCACCCAAGGCTCTGCTGTATTAGCTTTAGCGCCTCTGCTTCGGCCCCTTCAGTAAGCTTCAGCTGTTGTGCGCTGACTGTTTTCAACTTTCCTGGCGTGTTCGTGTGTTTCTGGCGGCGGCGTGCGACACTCACACTGAGCGCGCTCAGGTCCAGGTGCAGCAGCGTCATGAACATGAGGATGAGGAGGACTCTTCCTCCCAGCTGCAGCAGATGTTTCGGTGACTGCCGCCGAGTGACAGAAGGAACGCCGGCGAAGACGCTGCGAGCTTCCTCTCTGCACTCAGCGAGGAGGAGGAGCAGGCCACCACCCAGCGCCAGGTTCCTGCACGAGGGGGGAGGAGTTACACAGGGGCATGTGACAGGTGTGGGGGCGTGGCCTATAGCAGACTCACCTCATGAGGAACTTGAGATCCCACAGGAGGCTGTAGGCCACCATCTGCAGGAATGAACAGGACAGTGAACACACCATGGACAGTTCAAGAGTTTCACATCACTTCCTGTATTTCAGAATAGGCCCCGCCCCCAGTGCAGTGAGACGTTTTCACCCAAAAAGGGTGGAGCATCACTCAGAAAAAAGTTCTGAGAAGGCGTGTTCAGCAGAACCAACAGCTGAAGAAAGTCTGCATCCCTGAAAGAACTGGACCCGGACCCGCCCACTCAGGTGAGTTTACCTGCAGAGAGAGGATCCCGAACAGAGCGCAGCAGGCGGGCTGAACCAAGTTCCTGCTGAGGACCAACACACAGCTGCCTGCACACACACACACACACACACACACACACACACACACACACGTCAGGTTCTGCGGCATGAAAAACATCTGGGTCTAAGCAGAACCAGAACCTGGCTCTGAGCACGGATCCATTACCCAGCTGCCCCAGCAGGTTGATGAGGACGAAGACGTTGGCCAGAACCGTCCCGCAGCTCCAGGTGGACTCCATGTACTCGCTCTGGTCCGACCACTGGAACCACATCCGGACCGCGTCCTCCAGGAAGGTGCTGACCAGGCAGAGCCGGGCCGCGTGGGGGAGGCCGTGCTTGGTCACCCGCAGGAACTGTAGCGGGGGAGAGAGAGGAATGCTGCCGACTCTCAGAACCAGAACTGGACCTGGTTCAATCTGGAACCAGTTCATGATCAGATTATTAGTGAAGGCCCACAGAAAAACTAGTTTCAGCAGAATTTAGCTGTTTTAACTCCCGGGGCTCTCAAACATCAGCCGAAATGAAAACAAGAAGTGACTTTAGCTCGTTTCCACTTCACAACGCATCATTCAGCTCATGTTCAGCTACTTGAACCACCTATAGATGAAAACATTCAGCTCGTTACAGCTGCAGCTCCTGGTTTCTGTAACTTTATTATTTAACATTTTTTAAGAATATAATCTGATGAACAGGACGGGTTAAACCTTCAGCACATCTGCTTCTTTTATTTTGGCTTTGGGCCGACGTTAACTTATTATTTTTACATGTTCATGTTTCTGTTTACTTGTTTTTATCTGTTCAGTGTCCTGAGACGACTCCTGTTGTACAAATAACTAATTTTTATTAATTTATTTATTTAATAAACTGAACTGAACTTTGAAGTTTAGCTCATTTTAGCTCATTTAAGCTTATAGCTAAATGTGTAATTTATTTTTTAAATGTTTGTCATTCCACATGAATGAGCCAAAAGAAAACGTAAAAACAAAATAAACCCAACATTTGATCATTTAAATATTAATTTTACTTTAAAACTTTCACAGACATAAAATAAACATTTGCCTCATTAAATATATATAAATCTTTAAATCTTTACGTTCACTTGTCAGTGTAATCACGCTGTGGATCAATAAAATCATTTTATTTATTTATTGTATTTTTTTCATTTGTTCTTTACTCTCAGAACATGTTTACAAACAAAAACAAAAGTTATTTGTTTACAGCATCACGGAAGAACGGACCAAAAATCTTATAAAAACTACAAACCCCGCGGAGGAACTACAACTGTTTCCGGTGTGACACTGTTACCTGTTGCGCCAGAATCGTGTTTTCAGGCAACAATATGGTAATTTTTTTCAAATAATTTCGAATATTTCTGTAAATACGTGAACACAGTGATCGATTATTATCAATTAATGAGGCCGGACTCCGCTGAAGGTTTAGAGTCGAACCTGTTCTCGTCGCAGGAACCGGAAGCTCTGAATCAGTTTTAAACTCCAGCAGCAGCGCGTGCGCTTTCATTTCTCCACAAACATTTTGTTAAAAGATTTAAATGTTTTTCCTTCACGCTCAGCTTTTCCTGTTTGAACCACCGAACCTGAAGCTTCACATTCACATTTAAAAGCACCAACTGGATCGGAACCGAGCAGCTGGGCTCAGAACCGGGCTCACAGCTGGCTCCTCCTGCACCGGGACCTGGACCCACCGGGACCTGGACCCACCTGGACCGAGCCCCGTCCCCATCAGGGGGCGCGTGATGAGCTCACCTGGTCCGCCACGTCCTCCGCCCGGCTCATCAGGTCTCCGTGTCCCATGTCCGCGGATCAAAAGGCACTTCGGTGCGGAGAAACGGTCCTGCGCAGGTTCGAATCCCGGTGTGACGACAGTGAACCGCCGCCGTCTCCTCCGAGCCACAATCCTCCGCGCTCGGCGGGAGCGCGCCCTCCTGTGGCCAGGAGGCGACGCGCATGCCACGTACACCTCATCAGCGTGAATAATTGATTCAAACAAACAAACAAACAGGTGTTTGAGGTATTTATCTTCCGGTTTAACAAGGATGAGCTCCAACGAGCCACACTTCCTGTTCTGCCAACAAAAAGGGAGATCATGTTTTCGCCTGTCGGAGAAACAGCTGCTTAATCCACCCAGTTCAAGATGGCTGCCACAGCTAACTCGTTACAGGCCAGTTACAAATACGTACTCCGAGTGCTACGTTCTACATCGACTGCGTCGGCCATCTTGAATCATTTTGACACCAACTTTTGTTTAAAGTCTGTCCATTGGTTCCTGAGATATTTTACTAACAGACACACACTCCTTTAAGAAACAGGAAGCTGCAGTGTTCCCAGCTGATCCGGACTTCCTGCTTACAGTTCGTTCCAGCTGCCGCAGGTGTAAACAGCATCAGGGCGTCACCTGGATGCACCGAGGCATTGTGGGAAACGGTGTCATCGGGTCAGCTTGGAGCAGATCTGTCCTCACCTTCGTCCTCTTGTCCTCGTCTTCTCCTCTGAGCTCTGTAGTTCTAAACAACAAACAAACAAACAAAGAGCTGCCGGTTTGATCCGTGTTCTTTCAGGATTCAGACGTTCATCCAGAAATCCTTCGGCTGTTTCAGGTCATTAATTATTTCAGGTGTCTAATGAGATTGTATTTAGTGCAACAAAACAACAACAAGGTGTGTGTGTCACCTGCACGTGGAGGCGGTGTGTGTGTGTCCTGCAGTGTGTGCGTCGAGCTTCTTTGTAGAAAAACTTGTGGCAGAGTCGACACACGAAGCCGCAAACAGGAACCACAAAACCACTTCCTGTGAAGACAAAGTTCTGCTGAAACGTCCCGACCCGACAAAAAGCTGCAGTTTAACGAACCAGAGTAAACATGGAGGCAGCTCGTTGTTTACAAACAAACAACTTCTGCACAGTGTCAATTCACACGTTTGGCTCATCAGGATTACGTCTCGTAAGTTTTGAATTATTGAACTTGGTGGACCCTGCACCTGCAGGAGGACCACACGAGTCGGGTGCATGACTCCATGGACAGTGGCTGAAGGCGGGGCCAGTGGCTGAAGGCAGGGTCAGTGACTGAAGGCGGGGTCAGTGGCTGAAGGCGGGGCCAGTGGCTGAAGGCGGGGCCATGGCACCCTGACCCTGGCTCACCAAAGCTGCTCTTGGGACATGGAACGTGACCTCTCTGGGGGGGAAGAAGACTGAACTTGTGCGTGAGGTTGAGAAGTACCGACTACATCTAGTCGGGCTCACCTCGACACTCAGCATGGGCTCTGGAACCGATCTCCTTGAGAGGGACTGGACCTTATTCCAGTCTGGAGTTGCCCATGCTGAGAGGCATCGAGCTGGTGTGGGTCTACTCTTAGCCCCCCGACTTGGTGCCTGTGTGTTGGAGTTTTCCCCGCTAGATAAGAGGGTGACTTCCCTGCACCTTTGGGTGGGGGGACGAGGTCGGACTGTTTGTCCCAAACGGCACACGGCAGTTCAGAGCCTTCTTGGAGTCCTTGGTGGGGGTCCTGGAAGGTGCACCCGCTGGGTACTCCTTTATTCTGCTGGGGGACTTCAATGCCCACGTGAGTGATGACAGTGTGACCTGGAGGGGCGTGACTGGGAGGAACTGTGGTGTTCTGTTGTTGGACTTCTGTGCTAGTCATAGTTTGTCCATCACAAACATCTTGTTCGAACATCAGGGTGTCCATAAGTGCACGTGGCACCAGGTGGACCTAGGTCGTAGATGATGATTGACTTTATAGTCGTGTCAACTGACTTGCGTCTGTTTGTTTTGGACACTCGGGTGAAAAGAGGAGCTGAGCTGTCAACTGATCTCCACCTGGTGGTGAGTTGGGGCAGATGGTGGGGAAGATGCCGGACAGACCCGGTAGACCCAAATGTGTAGTGAGGGTTTGCTGGGAACCCCTGGCAGAAGAACCCATCAGAAAGATCTTCAGCTTGAACCACATCCCAGATGAGGCGGAGACACTGAGTCTGAGTGGACCATGTTCCACGCCTCACTTGTTGAGGTGGCTGTCTTGAGCTGTGGCCACAAGGTTGTCGGTGCTTCTTGTGGTGGCCCTCCTCGAACTCTGTGGTGGACACCCCGGGTCAGGGAGGCTGTCAAGCTGAAGAAGAAGTCCTATCAGGCCTTGTTGGCCAGTGGGACTCCGGAGGCAGCTGAGGAGTACCGGAGGTCCAAGTGGTCCGCAGCCTTGGCTGTTACTGAGGCAAAAGCTCAGATGTGGGAGGAGCTCAGTGAGACCCTGGATAAAGACTCGGTCGGCTCCGAGGAGATTCTGACAAACCATCAGACGGCTGAGGAGGAGAAGCAGCTCTTTACGAACACTGTGTTCAGTGAAGGTGGTGCTGTCGACCTCAACCAGTGATGGTGTCAGGAGGTGGAAGGAATACTTCTCGGACCTTCTCAATCCCACCAGCACGTCTTCCATGGAGGAAGATGAGTCGGGGACTTGGGAGTTGGTCCGTCTATAACCGTGGCTGAGGTCACCGAGGTTGTTAAAAAGCTCCGTGGGGGCAGGACTCTGGGGGTGGATGAGATTCACCCGATCTCCTTCAGGCTCTGGATGTTGTGGACTGTCTTGGTTGATGCGCCTTCGTAACGTCACGTGGACATCGGGGGCAGTGCCACTGGACGGGCAGACCGGGGTGATGGTTCCCCTCTTCAACAAGGGCGCCAGAAGGTGCGCTCCAGCGATGCAAACATCACTCTCCTTAGCCTCCCTGTACGGTCTGTGCAGGGACTGGAGAAATTTGTAGCGCTCAGCTACATGCTGTTCATATTTGTTTTTAGCTACAGTCAGATTTTAGTTGTTTTGCTACTTTCAGCTTTAAGCCGTTCTCTTATTAAAACTTTTAGCTGCAGTTATGCGACTTTTAGCTGTTAGCTATAGTTTTTTTATTTGTAGATTTAAACTACAGTTCAGCTGTCTTTAGCATTCGGCAGTGATTTTCCTACGATCATGATTTTGTTGTCATTTAGCCATTTTTAGCTTTTAGCCACTGTTTATTATTTCAGTTTTTAGCTGCAGTTTTGCTAATTTTTGGTTTCAATCAGCTTTACTAATTTTAGCTACTAGCATCTGTTGAAATCATTTAGTCTTTAGCTACAGTTTAGCTAATTTAAGCTTTTACCTACGGTTTTGTTCATTTAACCTTTAGCTTCTTTTTTTAGCTCGTTTTATCTTCGATCCTGCTCGTCCTAACTTGTTTCATCTTCAGAACGTTTCGGCTGTCGTTCGGCTCTCTCCAGCTACAGATGTGACCAGTTTGTTTCTGCGAGTCGTCCTCAGGACGGCGCCCGAGCTTCGTCACCTCAGAGACAAACTCACCGTGACGGTCGTCCTCCTCTTCATCACGCTCCTTCGTCTCGATTGGCTGAAACACACACAGGTGAGTCCAGGAACATGGAGCAGGTGCGCTCTGAGCTGCAGGATGAACAGGAACCAACCTCAGACGGATTCACTTCCTCCTCCTCTGGCTCCTCCTCCTCCACTTCAAGCTCCTGCTCCTCCTCCTCCTCCTCTTCTTCTTCTTCCTCTTCAAAGCAGCCAACAGCATCCACCGTGATAAGCTCCTCCTCCTGAGCCTCCTCCAGCTGCACCTGGCAGGTTGAAAGCAAAAGTTGACTCAAGTCTTCAGGTGGTCGTCGTCTGCACACCTGAACAGGTGAGCATTACCTGGCAACCACCAAACAAACACTGTGTCCTGTGTGTGTGTGTGTGTGTGTGTGTGTGTGTGTGTGTGTGTGTGTGT